ACTAATGATAAAATCTTGTCTGAAGAAAACACATCAAAAACTGAGATAAGCGTATCAACTGCACCTATCTCATTGTCCCATACCTCTAATTTGGAAGACAAATCTTTACTGGAGACTAAGATAAGTGCATCGTCTAATCCAACTCATAACCATACTTATTTTTATAATAAAACACTAGAACAGTATCCTAATTTATATAAAGATGATAATAGTGAAAATGTAGATTATTATGGAATTACTGATAAGACACTATATCCTTTATGCAAATTAAATCATGATGACGATGAAGATATAGAAGATAAATATGAAATTGGTTTCTATTATATTAAATGTGAACAGCGTGGAGTTGAAATTGAGGTAATGGCATGAAATTTGTCTTATATTAACACAATTCACTTAAGTCTTTAAGATGTCTCTCTGAGGCATATTTATTTTTTTTTGTTAAATATTGTTAATTAAAGAGACACGCAATTACATAAATAACACATGAATACACAGACAAAGTTCAATAAAACATTAACTCCCGAATATTTGGAATGAAATAATAAATTTACTGGATTACCAAGTATTTTAACTGACAAAATTCGTTTCAAGTTATATAAGAGATACAAGAAAGAAACTGGTCTCGATCCTTGGATGGATTCCAAAACCTCTGAATCTTTTGAGGAGAAAACTTTATTTATACTGCGAGTAAATGTTCAGTCTACGCCATCAAAATCTCGATCACCAATTTCTGTTCTATCTAAAGACCCGGAAAAAAGGCAACAACACATTATTGAAATGGTATTAGAACGATTTCCTTATTTAACTTTAAAACATAGTTTTAAATATAGTAATTATTTTGATTTTAATAGATCTGTACTCTGTTCTATATGCAACAATGATCATAAAAAAGAGAATATAAGAAATTTTATAGAGGGTGAGTGGGGAAGTGGCAAATATTGTGGTGAAAAAACTTATCATCTCTATTGTTATAAAAATAAATATCAAAATTCAATCCAAATAGTAACCATAAAAGCATAGGTTAATAAGAAAACTCTTTTATTTCCACTAATTAATAATCGCAAATTGCATTGCAGGCCCGAAGGGGTGACCCTAAAGGGTCAAAATCACATAAAAATAAAAAATGATTAGGAGCCCAGTGGACCCTTCTTTATTTAATATTTTTTTGCCAGAACGACAACAGACAAATAAAAAAAACATATAATAAAAAAAACAAATAAAAAAATATATATCGCTGTTACATAAAGCGAATAAAAAAATATATTTTTACTGCTTTGGATTTATAATAAATACTGCGTTATCAAGATCTTCAGGTTTTTTAAAAATTTCAGATAATTTCTCTTTTGATTTAATATCTCGTATGTAAGCAATTCTTTTGACCAAAATTTTAAAACGTGCTTCAATCTTTGCTTTAAAATCTTCAAATGTATAACCCTACTTAATTATATCAGGATATTTACGGGATGAAAATTCAAGCACAGTATCAAATTCATCAGAAAGTGTGGCCATTTTTTCTGAATATAAAATTTTAATGAGTTTCGCTTTCATAGTTTTTGCTATAAATGTCACAATCTCATATAAATCATTACCTTAGAACTAAATTGCGGGTAACTTATGTTAAACTTTTTTTTTCAAAAATATATGAGCAAAAAATAACGTTATTGCTAACTTATCTTATGGGTAGGAACTTGCTTATTTTTATACCGCTCATTTGATAGATCTAGAGAACCTGCTAGAAAAAAAAGTTACATGATTAGTAATTGTGTTACTCTAACACTGCCAGAACATACTTAACAAAGCAACTTCATTTTAGTTGTAAGGCCCAAATACTGAACATATTTTACTATTTTTTAGTAAAATTAAAGCCCCTTTAGATTCAATGATTAGTACTACGAAGTAAAAAAGTCAACGATTTCAATGATCTGGGAATTCCAAGTCCCCCATGACATATGAATTTGGATAAAACTGCTGATAAAGAACGTTATACTTATTCCCCTTATAGTATTTTTTGATCTCATTCGTGCTTTTCTTATCGTGGGATCATATATGGTAAGAAAAAAGTTATATAACTTATTTGAAGTAATATTCGTTTTAGCGTAAGAAAATAATTATGCGGTAAAGTATCACAAAGCACATGCCCGATTTTGTGTGACTTGTATTACTGGAATGTTTACGGTTAATTACATTAAATTCATATATATGATCACGGAATGAATACGAGTAATAAAAATCACGACTTTATACCTTGTATCAACTCCACATAGTAAATTTTGGCTAAGCCACTGTTAAAGTACTGTTGGCTTTTTTCTAATAAACACATAAAATTGAATCAGTTATTCATAATGTATATAATTGATAAAATCTAATAGGTCTAATAATCCTAAATTTGATATAA